GCTTCTGCATGGCTGCGTCTGATTCTCAGTGAGCCTGAGAAAGCATTTGGTCAGCTAACAGCCATAACCAGGATGTTGTTCCAACTCTGCGTGCTGACCCTAGGTTCTTTGCAGGCATAGTGGTCTGGGCCAATGAGTCACCACTCATCAGGAATGGATTTAGTGCAAGTGCACAAACATATTTCCAGCAGAGGAATAGGTAGAAACCCATTATCCCATTGGCTGCTTCCAGTAAGTGGCGTTTGGGGGCTTTCATGGTCTATACGTGTCCCCTAAACTAGGGGCTACATAGTGACCATGAATATGTAACAGTTGCAAATGAGTAACTGCAGGATGTTGTTGTTGTTGTGTGCCTCCAAGTCATTTCTGACCCTCAGGCTGACCCTAAGGTGAACCTGTCATGGGATTTTCTTGGTAAGATTTTTAAAGAGGTTTGCCATTGCTTTCCCCTGAGGCTGAGAGCATGTGACTTACCCAAAGTTACCCAGTGGGTTTTATGGCCAAGAAGGGAATTGAGCCCTAGTCTTCAAAGTCATAGTCCAACATTCAAACCACTACACCATGCTGACTCCCCTAACTGTAGGATCCACATTTGTAACTGTCCAGTGGGATCTCTGCCATAGGCTTTCTGATTAGAAGTCATAGATTTGCATTTGCCTTGCTCTTGCTCTTAGAATGAGGTGGAAAATGTGGTTCCCCAGATATTATTGGACTGCAGTTCCCATTAAACCAAGACAAGGTAACCAGTGGTGAGAGATTATGGAAAGTGCAGTCCCCCAACAATTTGCAAGGCCATATGAAGGCCATCAGTGATTCTGACAAGAATAACACATATTGTACAGGGTGTCCAAAAATTATCTTTATACTTGCAATTCTATATAAAATTGAAATTATAAAGATAATTTTCAGACACCCTGTATTAATTCTTGGACCATAGCATTTCAAAATCAGATGGCAGGACGTACGTGAATACATAATAGACAGTGCTCAGAATGAACTGAGTTGTTAAACGTTTGTAGAATTAGAGAGGGAACAAGACATATGTACACATATTGCTTATAAAATACATAATATTACTAGTTTATCCCCAATAAAACACACACTGTTACTGATCTAGAAGGAACAAGTTGTGCTGTTCGCATTGTTGGCATCTAATAGAACTTGGGGGATATGTTGTTTGTGAGGTGCCATGATGACTTGCCTTTTGTACAGTTGTGTCCCATTCCATCTGGCTGATAATTGGTCCAGCCTGAAGGAAGGAACATAGCCTTACTTTCTGTTGTGATCCCCCAAAGACTAAGGAAGAACCCCCTCATCCTGCTCTCATGTCTGAGGAATTTTTTCACACTATTCATGGGAAGAACAGCATGTCCCAGAAGGAAAAGAAAAGAGAAAAGGAAAGGAAAGAAATATTGTCAAATGAAACTGAAATTTGCTTCCAAGGACTTCCACTAACAAATTTTAAAAAAGGAAAAGGAAAAGCAAGGAAATGTCGGGGCCACAAAAGAAGATAAAAGAGGCCACCCACTTTGAGGTCATAGAAACTTTGATGGAAGATAAGGCTACTACTCAGAATAGTTCTCCATTGTTTCCAGTATGGGGATGAGGTAGGATGGCTGGGAACACCAGTTCCTGCAGACAATGACTGGGAGGATGTTCTTAGAATCATAGACTTGAAAGGAACCACAAGGGTCATCTAGTCTACCTCCTGGCTGTGCAGGAATATACAACTACAGCACTCCTAAAAGATGCTCATCCAACCTCTGTTTAAGGACTTCCAAAAATGGAGAGTCCACCATCCCCTCAGGTAATTTATTCAACTTTCAAGCAGCTCTTACAGTAAAAATGTTCTTCCTAATGTTTAGGTGGAATCTCTTGTAACTTGAATCCATTGGTTCATGTTTTAGTCTAGTCTCTAGAGCAGTAGAAAAGAAGCTCACTCCATCTTCTACATAACATCCCTTCAGATGTTTAAAGATAGGTAGCATGTTGTCTCTTAGTCTTCTCTTTTCCATGCTAAACATATCCAGCTCTCTAAGTCATTCCTCATAAAGCTTGGTTTCCAGACTTTGATTTTCTTTGTCACCCTTCTCTTTTCTTATGCGTGTGTCTTGCTGTAGGTTTCTTATAAGCATGTGGTTGGCTCCTGTGGGAATAGACTCCGGGAATAGACCCCTGGACTAGACAAGGCTTTGATTTGATCTAGCAGGATTGCACTTGAAATTATATAAAGGGCATTTATGCAAATATGTATACATTTCCTAACAGTCTGTCAATGATACAGATGGCTCTGATACAGAATGCAGCCAAATTTATCTGAACATATTAGCTTCTCAAATATTCTAAGTCACACAAATACTTTAGAATCTGAAACCATGGCAAGGGCTGTTTTGTTGTCTCCAAGTGTTACATGTCCAATTAATCCTCTGAAGTATCCAAAATCATAATAATAAAAATAAATCCTTACCAAAATAGTACTGACACCATTTTAGCTATTGTCAACTGCCCTCAGATTCCTGTTTTAAATTATCCCCCCCCCCCCGGGTTTCTCAGATTTATGATAAATTTGATTTTTAAAATGTTGCGATGACCATTTAGAGTGACATTTGGATGGGTCTTGGTGACACAGAAACATCAAAGATTTGAAGATGTTCTTCAGCTTCCAGTTCTGCTTCAGTAATGTGGCAATTAGTTGTTAGGTCTAATTTCATGCATTTCTAGGTCTTTATTTTAATTCTCCCAGAACAGCCCGCAACTCCTTTATTGGCTACAGCTCAAATAAATCTGATGTTCTGTAGGGCAAGGACACAGGACTGCCCACCTGCCTGCAGCTCAGGCTGTACCCACACTGTGGAAATAATCCAGTTTGACACCACTTTAACTGCCATGGCTCAATGCTATTCAATTCTTGGAATCATAGTTTGTTGTGAGCTTTGCTCTGGTGCCATAACAAACTACAATTCCCAGAATTCCATAGCATTGAACCATGACAGTTAAAGTGGTGTCAGACTGGGTTATTTCTGCAGTTTGGATGCATCCCTGGTCAAACCATAGCCCTCCAGTCCATGTGGCAGGAGAGAACTGAAGAAAGAGAAGATGCAGTGTTTATTGCACCCACTGAAGTTCCCATGGATCCCACCTTGAACTTGAGTGTGTGTTTGGCTGGCCAGATCCCCATGCTAGACCACTATCCATGATCTCTCATGGAAACTCCACTATTGGGGAAAGAAGGGTGCCCCACACCTGCTCTGTGCCAAACTATGTCCTACTCAGTGCCTCACTAGTGGAGTGATGATACATTGACTGCAAACCAACTAGGAATCCAATAAAGCAGAGCTTTATTGCAGGCAACAATGAGTAGATGAGGAAAAAAAAAATAAACCCATTTGATATGAAGAGGCAAAATGACCATTAACTCCAGGAAAATCTCTTTGGACTCATGTAGTCCTAACTCCAGCTCTTGGATGGCTGCTCACCCAACACTTCTTGGTTTCTTGGCCACCACTCTCAGACCCTGCACATTGTTGTTGTTGTTGTTTCACAGGAATCCCAGGTTGCATGGCAGCTTATTTCTTCAGCTGCGGCTCTTCCAGGGATGCAATATTGGGATGGGGTGTAGCAATTCCTGATGGTGTCTCACAGGTACTATATAATTGTGTGTGTGTGTTTGAGATAGATAGATAGATTGATAGATAGATAGAGATAGATGTATATTTAATTGGTTTTCCAACAGCTGCATTTGCTATGAAAAAGCAAACAAAGCATGATGTGAGCTCCAGTCCCAGATCTCCCACACTCATGGCCCAATTGCACCCTGAAATCTTTATGCACCAGTCTTTGGAATAAATATCCCCTTTGCCCATTGGATCAGCTATATTTCCTTGATCCATTATGGAAATATGTTGTCCCCCCCCCTCATTCCACTAGACAAATTTGGATTTGAATGCCCAAAGACCTTCATAGACTGGAAGAAATTTATTCACTGCATTACCTAAACTGTAGCTTTTCAGTGAACCAAATACACATGCTTTCAATCTGGGCTTTCAACATTTTCCAAAACTCTCAACACTTAACCACAAAAATGCTACATTTATTTTTCCTTTATTCTCTGCTTAATCCACCCAATCTGATTTTATATCTTGGATTTCCTTTCTTATTTCTACATCATGCCTCTGCCCCACAAAATACTTTGCTGGGTTGTGCTAATCCCCTTGAAATGAACTGATCTGATTACAGTGGAGAGACTTGGGATCAATCTCATCTCTCCTGGAATGGAATAACTGGGAAAAGGGGGAAATTGAAGTGTCTCTTCATCCCCACCCATTCAAAATACCAAACCATATTAAAAGGTTGACTTAATATTGGAATTGAACTCATAAGGCATTGCAACAATTATGTGTCTCCTGAGGAGGAGAAGGAGAGGGGGGAAACCCCTTGGCTCAGATTTCTATTTACTGTTTTAGTCTCTAAAATGATCTACATTTGTACATAAATTATATAACAACCTGTGAAGTACACCAATACTATATATGGGATGGAGGGCAATGAGGAAGGGGGAAATCTTATTTGAAATGACCCAGTTAGTTTGTCTCATGGTTTCTCATGAACATCATACCAGACTGCAGTCCTATGTTTTAGGACAATGGTGGGCAACCTCTAGTTTTCCAGGTATTGGAGGACTATAACCCTACCAATAACCCCCACTGTTGAGTCTGTTGGTGAGAGATGATGAATACAGAGTCCAACAAACAGAGCTGTCCTGTCTTGGGTATTTCACTGCCAATGAAGAACAAGATGTCACTACCCACCAGTTCATATACAAAATCCAACTGGACTATTACTTTTTTACTCCAATAGTGCTGATGAAAACAAAAAAGTCCTGTTCTGCACTTAAAGCAATGCGGTGAGGATGTGTTAAAGGTAAGTGGCTGGCTTAGTACAGGCTACATAGTGTACAACTCTTTCATCCAACACCTTGCTTTTACCTGGATCACTGAATTGGTTTTCTGGTAGGGCTCAACCAGGTAACAACATCTGAAGGGCCACCATGGATTCTTCACCCTTGCTATAGGAAGGGTGGAAAGCATCATTTGAATGTGAATGTGAAAGTGTGAAAAAACATGGAAGAATAAACATGAAAGCATTTTTAGGGGGCTGCGAGGGAAGTGAACCTGAGAAGTTTAAGGATTCTCCATCCAGGTACAGATAGGGATAGGTAAGTATGTGGCTTTATTAGGGGTCAATCTCATTTAACAGCAATATGGTAGTGGTTGTGTAAGCACCATGGATGGATGAATATAACTAGATCATTTGAACAAGTTTTGCATATAGCCATTCCTATATCTGTTCCATCCAATTTTCTGCATTAATCTGCATTTTAGCTACCTGACTCTGGACATATTTTATGGCTTTTACATCCTTTCATTCAGTATTTTGGGGATTGTTCCATTTCCCACCCAGTCTCCTGTCTCCGTCTCTGTTTAAAACAACCTAGTAAATGATCTGATGTCATCTAGGTCAAAACTGCTGCCAAAGAAACTAGTTAACCCTCATGCAGCAGACTTAACAG